TCTGGCCCCCCTGTTGCTTTCCCTTGTCGCCCCCCCCCCCCCCCAATCTTCTTTCACTTGTTGTTCCCCAGCTGCTTTCCCTTGTTGCCCTTCATTCCCTCATCTTGTCCTCCTTCACAGAGTGCAATCTTCTTGTTCTTCGCCGGAAGAATGGAGGAAATTAAAGGCAATATCGATGAGGTGAGAGACCTGAGGAGACATCACCATCCCATACACACGATTAATTTGTTGCGTACATCTCATCCTACTCTTCTCTTGCTCTGCCAGGCCATCCATTGGTATGAAGCCGGGTGTTCGGCTCAGCAGTCCTGGAAGCAGTTCCACCACATGTGTTACTGGGAGCTGATGTGGTGCTTCGCCTATAAGGGGATGTGGAAGGTGGCTTATTTCTACGCAGATCTGTTGAGCAAAGAAAGCCGCTGGTCCAAGGTAATGACATCACAACATCTACATCTGTTCATCTCATGATGAGGCCAGAGAGCCCCAACTCTGGAATCTTATCCTCCTTATTTTTTCACTAACTTCCAATATGGTCTATGTTAATTGTGCTGTGTCCAAACACAATGTAAAATTGCAAATCTATTAATAAAACAAATCTAACATAACTGCCAATTCAACCACCGCCTATAACACGTGTCCTCCATCTGTGCCCCAGGCTATGTACATGTACATGAAGGCAGCTTTTCTCAGTATGCTTCCTGTGGATGAGCCTCGGCCATTTGGTGAGAGCGAAGTAGAATTGTTCAGGTAAGGAATGGTTAGCCCGTCCACTGTTTGTGACAATCTGAGAGAAACATGGCTGAATGTCCTCTAACTCTCTTATCTGCAGACTTGTACCCTCCTTGAAGCAGAAAATAGCAGGAAAATCACCACCCACTGAAAAATTTGCCATCAGGAAGGCGAGAAGATACCAGGCCAAGAACCCTGTCCCGTTACCGGTTCCTGCACTGGTACGTGACTGGTATTTGTGCACTTAATGGGCTTCTTGTGACAGAAAGAAAAGTGGACATGTTGCCTATACGGCACTAACATTCATTTTTACTAGTGTGATACTAGTGTGATTGCTTAAAAAAAAATGTTTGACAATCTCTGCCATTAAAGCTGAATTTAAGGCAAACGGGACATTACACAGGTAGGCAAACTGGCCCTCCAGCTGTGGTGCCACTACAGATCCTATTAGGCATTGCAAGACTCTGACAACCACAGGCATGACTGCCAGAGGCAAATGCATGATGGGATTTGTAGGTTCATCACAGCTGGAGGGCTGGAGTTGCTTACCCCTGGTCTAGACAGATGTGGCATGAGCTGACATTTCTGGCACAAGATGTCCCTGTTGGATGGGAGGTGGCGTGTATAACCATGACTTATCACAGTTCTAGAATCCTTTGAAATTTTTGTTTTTTGCCCTCTAGGAGATGATGTACCTGTGGAACGGTTTCTCTGTAGTTGGAAAAGATGCCAAGCTAACAGAAGCCACTCTAAATACACTTTGTGTGGTGGAAAACAATCTGCTACAGGAGCCAGGTAACATGAGATACAGATCTTTCCTTAATGATGGGGTCTAAGGTGGCCAGACAAATTGGATCTGGAAGAGGTAGACGGAGGGGCTGGATTCAGATTATCTGTAGTTCCAACCAGGGCCATTCCTCAAATGAAGCAGTCTGAGGCTGCTGCCTCAGGTGGCATCTCTGTGGGTCATGGGGGGGGGCTTTAGGCAGAGCAGCATGGCCGCCCTGCAACACAATGTTGGCAGTGTGCCAGCTGCCCCCCCCCCTTTTCTGGGGGGGGGGGGGGAGGGGCGTAAATGCGTAAGGGCCATACACATCTCCCCACTCAGCTCTTGGCAACCTGGGCTCTGGCCGGCGGAACTCATGGCAACCAGTGACATCTCTGATTTCTGATAGAGAACACCTGTCTCTGACCCTTTCTATCCCTCTCCACATGCATATATTGATTTATTTACCAGCAAAACAATTATTCTGCCTCCCAAGAGCCTGCCCACACACTGTATAGGGAAAAGGCTCTTGGAATATGTAACTCTGAGGGCATGCCTACATCAAATGGACAATTTCCCTACAAGAATTGTACAAGTGTGGTGGTGATGTCACAGGGAGTTATAAATCTGTTTAGTACTATTGGTAAAAACATAACAATAATGCCTGGACATAATCTAGTGGGGGAGAGGGAGGGTTGAATCTGAAACTAGGTTATTTGATCAATCCTATTACAGGCATAACCATGCATGTCAGTGGTCATATCTGCACAAGCCAGCCATTTGAAATGCTTGAAAACCTGATCAGCCATAACATTATGACCACCCGCCTAACATTGAGTAGGTCCCCCTTTTCCTACCCGTCCAGGCATGGACTCCACTAGACCTCTGAAGGTGTCAGTAGAAGATCCTTTAAGTCCTGTAGGTTGTGAGGTGAGACCTCCATGGATTGGACTTTTTTTTCCAGCATATCCCACAGATACTCAATTGGATTGAGATCTGGAGAATTTGGAGGCCTCACAATCGTTGTGTTCCTCAAACCATTCTTGGGCCATGTTTGTAGTGTGGCAGGGCGCATTATCCTGCTGAAAGAAACCACTGCCATCAGGGAATACTGTTTCCATGGAGGGGTGGACTTGGTCAGTAACAATGTTTAGGTTGGTGGTGCGTGTCACATAAGTAAGTAACATCCACATGAATGGCAGGACCCGAGGTTTCCCAGCAGAACATTGCCCAAAGCATCACACTGCCTCCGCCGGCTTGTCTTCTCATAGTGTATCCTGATGCCATCTCTTCCCCAGGTAAGTGACGCACACGCACCCGACCATCCACATGATGTAAAAGAAAATGTTAAATTATCTCCCATTGCTCTGTGGTCCAGTTCTGATGCTCAAGTGCCCTGTGTAGGCGTTTTTGGCGGTGGACACTGGTCAGCATGGGCATCCTGACCAGTCTGGTTATGATGTTGTTTGATCGGTGCATAAGCTGATATTTTATATAATTCTAAGGAAAATCCCAGCACTGGCTATCCGTACCTGACTAAGCCAGATGGATCCAATGTGTTGTAGAGGAGAGGGGTGTGTGGCCCTCCTCTGAATTATTAAGATGTGTAATCTGATCTCTCCTACTTTTTAGGTTTCTTCACAACACAGCAGTAAATCGGCCTTTAGAAAGCTAGAGCCAGTGATTTATGTTTCCATAGACTACAAACAAAGGATATATACAAAAACATTGTTCCTTTTATATGTGACCTTCATTTCTTCTCTTTTGACAGCCAACGAGTACCTGGAAGATGACCACTGCTCCATCCTTCTGCTGAAGGGTTTGTGTCTGAGGCATCGCGGGAGGCTGGCACAGGCTGAGCAGTGCTTCACCCACATCTGCCAGAGGTGAGCAGTCTGGTACAGACACGGCATGGACCATGTATGAATAGATGAACTCTGCTTGACTTCCTGTCTTCCCTTCTGCAGCGAGAAGAAGATAAAATACGACCATCATTTGGTTCCTAACTCTTTGCTGGAGCTGAGCCTTCTCTACATTCAGCAACGCAGGGGAGAAGATGCCATTTCACTCCTACGCCGTGCCAAGTACGTAAAACACTTTTATGGTACCGGGGGGTTTAAAAACATTCAATCTGGAGGGTCCTGTATGTTTCCCTATTTGGCTTCAAGGCTGGGCTCCAGGCAAACCGCTAAATACACGCATGGGAGCTGTTTTACCTGCCGAAGGTTTTGTATTTTTGTTCATTCAGTCCTGAGAATTGCACAGCCATGACTGGCAACATAGGAGAACCATTGTTTTCTCTGCTGCAATTAAGTGACACTTACAAGTCTTGTCCATCCACCAACCTGTGACTGGACAGAGAAGGAGAAGCAGCAGACTGATGAACTCATCTCTCTGTCACTCTGCACTCTCCTCCGGGGATTGCAAGAGACTGATCCCAAGGCAAATTTTGGTACTTAATATTGCGTGCATTTAATGGGTCGAAAACTGGGTACATTCAGGTATGAAGGTGCTTGTGACGCTCTTCTCACCTTCTCCCAATGCAGTGTTCAGTGCCTGAGTAGCCAATCACCAGTCCTAAGTGCCATCATGTAGGGGCGAGGAGAGTGTGAGCTTTAAGCAAGTGTTGGGTGGGAACTTGTACAGCAAGTTTGTAGGGTGTGACGGAGGGTGAACAAGGCAATGCGAGGAGCTGATGGAAGGTAGGTGCAACTTACTCTCCCTTGCCTTTTGGCATGCAATTGGCAGATGCTATCACACCACGCATCTAGCACGGTGTGATGGCATCCTAGCATTTGAATGGCACCCCAACGCACCTGGTGGCTGTGCATCGCAGCGCATCGCGTGGTACAATAGTACGGTTTGTTGCGCTGCACTACTTTTTACCTTCTCACCGCAATGCACGGATTTGTGGTATCCCGTGTTGCACTGCAACACATGGCCGCCAGGAGATGCTTTGGGTTACCATTGAAATAAATGGCAACACACCTTGCACACACAGAAGGTGTGCTGTGTGATGCTAGATGCACGGTGTTGTGCGTTTTGTGCAATGCTTGGGTATGAACTGGGCCCTTATTAAAAGTTACCTTCTCATTTCGAACTGCATCCAGCTAGGATATTCTACCAGCGCCTATGTTTGAGGGGACTGTTGGAGATTGCTCCAACGTTATGTTTCAGTTTCACGTTTGGCACTACATTGGTATTACAGGGAGAGCTCGTCTTACAAGACACTGTTGGGGGCTGCTGACATGCAAATCTGCACCGATGTTGTAGCAGATTGTTATAAACTGGCCCACATTATAAGAGACCCCTATAGACCACCACAGCATTAATTATTACCTCCCTAGCACTTAAGGCTTGGGGTCCTCTTTTTTTTGTACACGTTCAGCCCAGATGCCCACACTGAACTGAAATCTCAATTTTAAGCCTTTTTGCCATTTCTTTCTTTTAGGAACAACTACAAGAGTTACTCCATGGAATCCCGCACCCTCTTCAGGATCCACGCTGCCTTGTCCAAGCTCAAGGCGGCGGACTCCGAGGAAAACAGTACAGATGGAGCCAGCCTCTCCTGACCAATCGGAAGTCACCATTCCTAGGCAATGAGGAATTCTGATGAAACGCGCCCGCATTTGTAACGCGTCATATTTTATTGCCTGCTGGCTGGCGAGGCAAACATTGCATTGGGGGTAACCCTTCCTCTGGCCATGCAGAGCAAAGTAAAAGAGGGTCACTTCAAAGAGATTATCATAGGCTTAATGTGAACCTGTACTGGGAATAGAAGATGAACGGTACTGGATAACGTGCCATAAGGTACCTGTAAGATGAGCCTCCATTTAT